GTCCATCGTCCATCGTCCATCGTCCAGAATCCACCGTCTGGGTTTTAGTACATGCCGTGAGTGTTTCCGTCAAGGCCATGTAAGGCCCAGTTCAGACGCCGAACTTTTAATGAGCCGAACTTAATTAGAATTTAGACCGACCCAAATTATCAAAAGTACGCCTGCTGGTTCAGACGTCGAACTTAATTCACCAAACTTAATTTAGTTTGAACGAAAACACATCAAAACAGCGATTTTCAGACAAGGTGTATGCATTAGGTTCGGCACATGGAAAGTTCGACGTCTGAATCAAAGCCGTTCCAAAGCCGTAATTTCCGGCTGAGCTAGCCAATTTCAAGTAGCCGTTCTTAACTGATTCGGACGCCGAACTTTTCATGTACTTAATTCAACGTATTAGGTTTGGCTCATGAAAAGTTCGGCGTCTGAACTGGGCCTAAGGGTGGATTTCAATATCTTCTCCTTCGATAGAAACGAAATTGGAAACTTATCGTGATGCCAACACTAGGATGCGGGCCGCACAACCCTTTTTCACGGTTAGCTTTTCTTATCTGCCTAACCAACGTGGATGTGGGGAAACTTCAAAATTGTCCTAAACTGCGTCACACACATGTTAGACTATATTGTCAGGAAAATGAGAAAACTGAGTTCACCGTAAAAAAGGCTAGTTTGAGGTTTACCGAAAGGATGAAAGTTAAGATACTTACACCCCGTATAGGCCTTATTTGCAGAGCGAGAAAACGGACTGCACAGCTTTTTGCGCATCCCTTGCCTTACTTGCGGGCTCGGGTAATAATTCAAACTGCAATGGTTGGAAAGAGCAGCGGACTGTAATAAGGTATGCGAGGATGTTGTTCGGCGGGTTGATTTATTTATACTTGGGTAAGCTTGAATTATATTCGGCATTTCACTGTTAAGAAAACAAGGCTCTCCCTGCCTGCTGAGAGGCTCTCCTGCTTATATATTCAGTGGTGTCCTTATATGGATGAATATGTACAGAGTGTTTGTGGAAAAAATGTGTGCTCACAACTAAATTCCTTGTATACCGCGGGAAAATAAAGGGTTCGGAAACCGTCTTAAGGTTAATTTTGTCCGAAAAAAATACATATGTTTAGGTCTATACGAGTAAATTTTTACAAATGCTTACGAGTAATTATAACTTTTAAAGTCATGACCAATTCCTTTTGGGTATCCGCTAGCTCGTACGCCCCCAAGGCGTCCGCGGCCGCTTTCGCTTACGGGAATGAGTAAATACAGAGTTTGTATGGGAGTTCAAACGTAGTTTTGTGAAGACGGTAGTAAGTAGAGCTGTCCGCTGACGAGCGTGTCCGGTAAGAGAGCTTCCACTGTAGTGCAATATGTTGCCTATTTTTTAAAAAAAAAATAGTCGTCAGAGTCTGTCGTACACTTGGTGAAAGTTTCATCGGATTACACGCAGGCTGGGTTCAGTGTAGCTCGCGGTACAAGCTTTTAGTTTCTTCTAGTTGTTTTTTAATTTGAAATCAAAGGCATGTGAGCGAGAGTGATAGCTTTCCTTCTGTTAACGACGTAGCTGTTAAAAGTGGAATGCCACGATTCCCACAAGAAAAGTTTTGTTCTGCAGTTGGCTACACTGTTTTCGAGGATCTGGGCGTGACTTGGATAGATATTGTGATCCGTTGACTGATCAGCATTGTGTTAATTTGCTGATGCGGCTTGGATCATCATCTTCGGCTCCGCGCGAGTTCCAAAAGCTTTTGCTTTCCCCGATATAGGAACAGTCTCCAGCAACATACATGGCAATACATAGGTCCCAGCCAGTCTCTGACGTCGTTTTCACTTTCCTTTGGGACGCAACAACGCACTCAAATCGATCTTTTCCCTTTTGTTTCGTATTTCAATAATCTGGAACTGATGAGATTTGTGATGGAGTTGCACCCTTGAAGCGTTCCTCATTTGTCCTTTTGATCCAATTGCAAGTAGCCATTTACTGGATACGTGAGCCTGATCAGTTGGATACAAGTAGGAGCTGAATGAGTAGAAGTGATTCTCCTCCTGAGCGTGTTTTAGTAGGGTGTCTTCATTTGACGAGTTGGCCTAGAAAACATCAAAGAAATTTTGGATCTACCTCGATCGACACTTGGGCCATTACAGTGTAGGCCCAGAGTGGACTTCGGATTGGTTGACACTTGTCGAGCAAACGGAGAGACTCGTAAGCTGCTCGCAAGCACGTCAGTCACAATCAGTTCGTTCAGCGCGCCCAAGTAAACAACAAGACAAACTCGTGACGTCTCGTGTTGGGTGACAATTGGGAAAGAAAAACTTGTGTCGAACTGCTTGCCAATTTGATGGCAATTCATTTCAACGTGACAATTAGTACAAGAGCGCGCAAGTCTTGACTCGGTAACTGTAACTAACTGTAAGTGAACACAATTTCAAGTAATCGATAAAAGTGCCGTTTTTTGTCACTGACTTGTATATTTTAAAATATACAAGTCAGTGACAAAAAACGGCACTTTTATCGATTATGTCATCTCCTGACTACATTTACTCAATTTTTAAACACAATTCCAAGTACTAAACTTGCGTCTGCTGTCGAGTCTGTTCGGTGAACAGTCTACTTTTCACCGATTCCGAGACAGACTGTGGGAAAAACAGTTTATCTTTACTTATGGACTCCATGTATTTAGTATATCAGGACGGAATTAGCGGAAAATGAACGGGATTATTCAATGTTTTTTAGCTAGTAGCCACTTTCTGTGTAAACTACAACAGTACTGATAAATTTAGTCTGCTAAAGAGCCAGACCCACTCACTCAGTTTTTGCGTAAGAATTAGGAATTACAGGAGAAGAGTAATATCTGAACATACATTTACCGAAAAATATATTACAATGGATTGGGTTTGTTATCAAGGATTTCGAAATTATCTTGGAACTAGGGGAGTAAAACAACTGAGTGAGCTTTTCTCACAATCTACCAAACACCTTACCGTTGAGTAAATTTGACCATCGTTGCTTATCGCTATATATTTCATCGTTGTCAAACTCTTTAACCTCACTGTGCCCCGTCCGTGGGACTGAATAAGAAACAATCCTGAAAAAAAACCACAAATACTTCATCAGTAATCGATGTCACCTTCATATAGGCGGCATGAATTTGCCAAATCGAGTAAAGCTGGGAAGCAATGACGATTGCTTTAGACATTTTGTGGTCTGATTCTGCATTCTGCTCATAGAGAATTTCTATTCCGAACTAAATGGCCCTTTTTTTCACAAAAATAAAAGAATTTTATCTGTGTAGTGAAATGTTCGCCAACAGCAAAATTTAAAATATAATTCGAAATCATCAAGCATAGAGGGAACAGGGATGGCGCAGTGGTGAGAGTACTCGCCTCCAAACAACGTGACCCTGGTTCGATTTCGGCCCGGTGCCATATGAGGGTTTGGGTTCAAGTTTTTGTTGATTCTCGCTTGCTCCGAAGCTATTTCTCCGGGTACACCAGTTTTTCTTTCTCCACGAAACTAACATAGTAACAAAGCGCTCGGGCACCAGACCCGAGAGAGTGTCGGAAGTCGAACCTAACGAAAAGACCCTCTTATGAAACCCTTCCCTTTCCTCGCCAAGTAAGATCAATATGGACTTGATGACGTAGTGATGTTACAGGGAAAAAGTCGGCACGTACCATATAACATTGTTAGAGAGCTGTTCCAGGTTCCGGCTACTGTGCCATTTGGGAACATGATCAAGTGAATCCCTTTTCTGGTCACCAAGCGAATTTCAACCCATGTTGAAGCTGGCTCATTCAACCAAGGCTTTTTAACGTTCGAAAGTGCTGTTTGAGTCTTGTTTGTTGGTGCAACCGATGGCCTCATTGTGCTGTTGACAGGGACTTTCGTCGTCGCAAGCAGCGTACGAAGAATTAACGTTGTGATGAGAAACTAAAAAGGAACATCAAGACCATGATTTGGTTCATCCAGCCTTCCAAACTGATGTGTTATCTTCGTTTCGGTAAATTATCTGTTCTAAAGTGTCCGAAAGGCCTTTATTCCCCTCCCCCGCCTAGCGCAGCCTAAAATTAACCTACAGACCTTTCAAAGCACTCCAGATTTCCGTTTTAAAGTATGATGACAGAACCATCGTTGGGCTCCCTTGAGTCAATGTTAAATGTACTCGGTCTTCCTTGGTGGGAATATTAGATTTTGCGTATAGCCAGCTATTTGTTTTTCAGCAANAGGATCTCCAACTAACCACCCCCCCCCCCCCCCCCCCCCCCCCCCCCCGCCACCACTCTTCCACCGATTTTCTTAAAAGAATTCTTACTGGTTACCTCGGACATTCGTGATAAGAAATTTAATGCCTACTCTTTTGGCATTGATAAAAATGTCATTTGGGGTACGACAAAGGGTCACCTTCTATTTTCGGAAACGCAATAGGACCTTAGGTTTTCAGGAAATGGACAAAAGAGTCCTAATAAATCTGGCAGGAGTCAAGTTCACTTAGAATGACCAAACAGACACAAATCTTATAGCGCAGCCTAAAATTAACCTTCAGACCTTTTAAAGCGCTCCAGATTGCCGTTTTAAAGCATGATGACAGAACCATCGTTGGGCTCCCTTGAGTCAATGCTAAATGTACTCGGTCTTCCTTGGTGGGAATATTAGATTTTGCGTATAGCCAGCTATTTGTTTTTCAGCAACTCGGAGATGGGGATACTTTTCAGAAAAAGTCATCCACGCCGCTTAAACCAAACTCAGATAAGTTGTTTTTTTCTCTCAGTTAAGATTTAACAGCCTTCTTAAACTAACTACAGCGATCGCGCGTGAACTTTCGCGATCCTACCCGCAGATAAATGTGGCCGCTTGGTTTTGGCAGATGTTGTCAGTATGTGGTCAGAATTAAACGGTTAGGAAGTACCTACTGTTTCTTTCTGGCTTTAGACTGCAAAACAGTCGTTTTCGGACGTTTTCGGAAGGCGCGAAGCGTCGTAAGCGCGATCCTCGCGTGTGAAGCGCGCAAGCCTCACACGCCCGTAGGGCGTTTGAGGCGAGAAAACGACTGTCGGCTTTTCATGCAACGAATTCGTTCTAAGCGGGGGTCGTATTATGTCACTAAGGTGACAGAAATTGCTCGACAGCTCCACCCACATCTTCTAGCGGTTATCAGTCACACGCGACCTTCAAAAAGTGAAACCTTGCAGCGGTCCACTCGCAAAAATTATCATTTTACCTTCGGTATGTACGGCTAGCTCACTAAATACATTGGCATTAAATATTCCTTGAAATCTATAAATGAAGACGTTTGTTGGGGTTTTCAACGGCCATTCGCA